AAAACAACCCATGGTGATTCCAGAAGAGTGAAGTTTTGTAAAAGTTCAAGCAATTTTTAAGAACAGCCGATTTTGCGCAAAAAACATGGACATCATTTCATCTAGTATTCACTGCACACTGCATTGCACACCTTGCAATAAGCTTATTTTAAGTTCATTGTTACATTTCCACCGCTGAGATCCACGTTCCCCAGAAAAGTAGGTATGAACTAGATCGCGACTACTAAAGACTCAGATCGTCATACTAGAAATTATAAAAGTGGTAATTGGTTTTTTTGGGGTAAATTAAGCTAAAATTCAGTAATCCATCCGTTAACCAATGCACAACAAAACTGGCTTATGAGAAGCTAAGCTTTACTTTAGCTACTTTGGAACTCTAAATCTTAGAAAATCTTTTGGGATAGAGCATGTCCCCACAACCAAAGATGAAGAATTTTCTCAGAAACGTGTATCTAATGACATGTACCTGAATTCGTGGTCTTGCGATTACATCGCAGAGAGCTCGTACAGACTGCATCTCCAAAAAATTAGCACACCTTCCAAGAACAGTTTGTGCAATCTAAACTTTGCTCATACGCGCGATCCCAATTTTCAAGCTGAGTTGGCTTACATGAACGGGAGGAGGGACCAATTCATGAGTGCAGCTTAGGAACGCGACTAGAATTTTGCGATATGTGGGAGAATTGGGATTTCGAATGATTTCTTCACAAATTTTCCGCTGAATCGATAACAAAACCTGCAATTATAAAACTTAAAAGGAAAAAGGTGTTTTCTAATAGAAACTAAACTTCTCTTAGAAAAAGGACAGAACTCCTACCTCAGGTTTCACTAAGAATGATGATGTTTCAATTACTGCTGCTAGAAGATCAGCAGCAGATTTCCCATACTCCTATACAAAGTAACAAATAGTACAAAAGTAAAAACAAAGTTCAAGTTCAAAAAGTAAACCGTCTCGCCTTGAATCATACCTGCTCATCTAATGGATGCTTCATGGCTCCAAATATAATGTAAAAATGCCGGAACAATGCAGATCCTGCCCCATAGAGACGACATATATGCG